GTTCCTCTAAGTCTTCCTACCAATATGACCAAGTTGCGAAAACAAGGTCAAACAACCTCTATACAATAAACGGAGATTGCAACCTCACAAAAGGCCACACCATCTTGGTCTTCATACCTTCGATCTTTCGTTTTGTTTGGATGCTCTATTCTTTTTCTAAATGCTTGCTCAAAACTTAAGTTAAGTGGCTGCAGATGATGCGTAAACGGGTGCAATAGTGACCTGACAGGTGAATCCTCTGCTAAAGCACGTATGCCTTTGAACCTGCAATGCTACGGTATGTGATTGCACTCGTGTTGTGCGAATGCAATCATCTTGAAATAACTGTGATGTGAGAGTCAAAACCATATTCTAGCCTGATCATGTCTCCTCCTCCTGCTCGGTGGTACTTCTCGTTCCCCCCTCTCTAATCCTATCCAAAAACCACGAGTAGTTTTCACTTAACTTCATACACTCATTTTTTCTACTTAGAATGTTGGCTGTTTTGTTGATTTCTCTAGCCTCCCTAATCTTTCTCTTACTGTTATAGTCCTCATATCCAGCTAAGCGTTTGGCCTTAGACTAATCTATCTGGTTTCCTGTGCAAGTCATGTTCGGCCAATTCCGATTTTTTGACATGCAGGCCTTAGCAGGCTGTTTTGTGTTCACATAACATTTTATGCATAGGCCTACAGGGCCGGCCATCTTTTTTTCCTTCGTGTTCTTGGGGATTTATCATTAAACATGTTGTCCTGCTCTGAAGATATCCGTCACATGACGGAAGTAAGCTCAGCAGGGGTTCATCGGGCTCGTAGGGTGGTGCGCCTAAGATATATTCGCACAAATCTACAATCACCCTACAGCTTCCAGTGGAACCAACTTACGAGTCCCTTCCACTCTCTTCTTCAAACGAAATGAAAGGTTCTCCAATATTAAGACTGCATGCGCCCGCATTTATAGCCACGCTAAATTCTGATTAAGCAGTAATATTTTCCTAGTACAATCTCGAATTTAGTGAAAAATTTTTTTACTAACTTTTAATACGTAATTTTAACGGTCTCACTTTATATGGGTGTTAAATGCACACATGAGCATCAACTGCATTGCCAGAGTTTATGAATGCAGGTGACTTACTGATTCAAGCTTTGATCTGCTTTCTGTCTTAAAAAATGTATCTCGAAGCATGTTTCCGTCATTCTAGCGATTGCTGATTTATTTGAAGCTTGTCTCCTCCGGGCTTCCTGCAGTCTGTGCGGAATATGTATACAAACCTTGCTGGCTCTTTTAAGTCTGTGTTACGGCGATATGAGGATATGGTGTGGGTGATTGTATCAAGAAAAAAGGATAAAGTGGGTTTCACTTGTATCTTCAAATCTGAGGATGTACCAACTCCATAGTCTGACAGTTGAAGTTGCAATGATTACTATGGAAGAGGATTCTGGACAAGGTAGCCTCTTTGAGGGCTCTAGGACAATAGAACCGAATTGCGAAAACAAAGTCAAACCACGTCTGAAAGTATTCACTTTATTTATCCCAATCACCTACTATTTGTGTGCATTATGAAAAGCCTTTTTCACCTTGTCCCTTTCCTTTGAAAGGACCTTCAAATGGAGCTGAATGCACTGGCGACTGCCGCTGAACTGATGACGGACACTCGCGGCCGAGGGCCCGACAACCCTCATGCTCAGGTCAACTGTGACCTGCAGAACAGGCTGGTCCGCCTACAGGACAAGGTGGCTGAGATCAGGTGAGCTATGGCAAGCATATGTTGTTAGCCTTTTTCAGTCCATACTCTGCTCATTGACCATGCGGCCTGGAGCATACTGTGCCCCGTTGGTAGTCTGAGCCTTCCTTTCGATCTTTTCGATTGCTCTTCCGCACAACCCGGCCTTTTATTTCTCATTCTGTCCGGACCCC